TGATGTACAGTTGTCAGTTTCCATTATGCAGTTTATTACTAGAAGTCTTAGCTGGTCAGAAACTCCCTGTCTTAGCTGGTCAGAAAATTTAGTCTCCCAGTGAGATTAAATTTTAACAGCACCTTTGGCCTACAGTTTCACCAGGAATAATGTACACTTGACTAGTCCAAATGTACTTGTAAAGTGACTGATTCAGATCCTGTAAGCTCTTGATAGCCAAATAATGAAATGTGGTCTCATTAATTGTATTTTTTCAAAGATTTAAACAGGATATCCCTGTTAAGACCAAAATCTCATTTGCAATACATTTTGATCCAAGAGTATTACAGGGTAAACTAGAAAAAAATCCCCAAGGCAGCTGTATCAACAAATGTGCTTTGGGAATCATTTTTAAAAGTGTTTAAATGTGAATAGAAAACATCATCATTGCAAACAAATAACCCATTTTTTTTCCAACGGTTCATAATTTTTAATGCATGAGTGGGAAGGGAATAGAGGCGTTTGGGAGAATGAGCTGAGAGAAATGAAGGCACATGTGGAGCATAAATATCAGTACGACTAGTATGGCCAAATGGCCTGTGTTTCTGTGCTATGCTGTCTAAGTAATTCTATGTAACATAGTACAGTGGAATGTAAATAATTAGCCAAAATGGAGAATACCTGGTGGATAATCAAGGTTCCACTGTAGATCTATGCAATGTTGGTATATTTTTTTGAAAATAACAAATCAAACACTTCCCAGGAAGTTAAAGCTATAAACTTTTAAAGTTATGTAGGTCACAAAACGATAAACACTATACTTAAAAATACAAACCGAAAAGTTTTGAAAGCGGAGAAGATAATTGGCATTCCCCTGTTCAAAAAATGGATGAAGTGGTAAAGTAGGCTACAATCTTAGAAGAGCCGAATTTGAATCCAGTCGGGTAAATAAAAAAAAGTTCTCTCTGACAATAAGATTTTTAGGTGATGAGTGAGCGATCTCAAATCATTTCCTGATTGATAAAGATCCACTGGCGCATTGCGAGGTGAAGGACAGTTAAGGTCAAGTTATGATAATATGGAAAAATAGTCTGAGATACAGACATTTTTGAGGCTGCAATAACGTTTCCTTTATAAATGTAAAAATGTCTCTTTTTATGTATTCGGTTACTTTATATTGCTAGAATTTTAAACAGTCCCCTACCAGAGAAAATGAACAATTGGTTATATCTTGAATGAGGGAGGATTCAAGGATGGGTGGGGAATTACTCCCATACTTAAAATAATTGATTCCCTTCCTTTGGCAAGGGAAATTCCAAAGAACTATAAAAAGCAATACTTTTTTTTGCAATGTGGCAGATGCTATGCAGTTTTAGCATTTGACCACACCCATGAAGATCTCTAGAGAACAGGAAGCTTTATTCTTTCACCTTGTGCACGGCAAAGATAACCTAATGTAGAAGGTTTGATTAAATAGGACTGATAATTTGAGGCATCAAATTATACAGTGTAGAGATAGAACAACTAAAGGCCACAATATTTAAGTGTGTAAACATATTTTGCCTGCAAACTGTAAAATGATGTGATTCACAAAAGTAAAAAAAGAACTTCAACAAAGTTAGTTCTCTAATAGTGAAAATGTTACTGTCAGTACAGCTTTAAAGTTATGGTGTATTCATTAAAATTATTTGATTTCCTTTGCTTTGGAGTGCACTTCCCTTTCATAATATAAGTGTGAGCCTGGCGCAGTGGTAACACTCTTGCCTGAGTCAGAAGGTTGCGAGTTCAAGCCCCACGTCAGGACTTAGAATCACAGTCTAACATCCAATGCAGTTCTGGGGATATTTTGCATCATTAGGGGTGCCATTCTTCAGTTGAGACATGAAAACAAGATTTTAAAAATCCCATGGCACTATTTGAAAAGAGAAGGGAGTTTCTCCCAGTGATCTGGCCAACAAATCCAACAATAAAATTGGCCACTCACCCCATGGTTGTTTGTGGGACATTGTTGTGCGCAAATTGGCTGCAATGTTTCACCCACAAATACACAGCGTAATCTACTTTACAGTATAACCTTATGAAGCACTTTGAGACGACTTGATGACATGATATCATGTCGAAGAGAAGGATTATTATTACTGTTATCAGGCTCCTTGGGGAAATACACTAACTCACAAACATGGCAAATCACACAGCCTAACCGTGTAATACTAGAGATAGGCAAAACTAATAATTTTTATATTCAAAGTGCTTCACAAGATACACTGTAAAGATTGGTGACTGGTTATTTTGTGGGTGAATGCTGAACCAGACGAGTCAGAACTGCCCAACTCAAAAAAAGCACATACAAGTAGCATAATACAGCACATTCAGACAAATAAATTGCCACCAACAAAATAAATGGAGCTGCTCCACTATTTACGTGGCTTCTCCCCAGAGAAGGGCAGAAGGTACAGGATGAGCCTCAACAGCTTCATCACCCCATCCTCAAAAAAGGCCCTGGTACGAGTCGTTGCATCCCAGCTTTGCTCTTTCCTCTCCCACCATTCCCTCTATGAACCCTCCCAATCGGGTTTCTGTGCTGCCCACAGCACGGAAACAGCCCTGATCAAAGCCGCTCAGACTGAGACTCAGCAAAGCACGCTTGTCTTCCATCAACACCTCCATACCTCGGACGCTAACAACATCACCCTTCATGGATGCACTCTACATCTTATGGAGCCAATACAGAACCTCAATGTCCTGTTCGAACCTTCAACTATCCTTCACCCCCCACATTTGTTATATGACTCGCTCCACCTTTCCCCACCTCTGCAACATTGCTCAGCTCCGCCACTGTCTTTCACCGCAGGCCACCAAGACCCTCATCCACTCATTCATCACATCCAGGCTCGAGTACGCAAATTCCCTGCTTGTCGGCGTCCTCAACTCCTCCCTCCACAAGCTGCAGATCATCCAGAACTCTGCAGCTCGTGTCCTCTCCCGCACCAGACTCGGCGACCTTATCACCCCCATCTTTGCCCAGCTCCACTGGCTCCCCATCACGCAGAGGATACAGTTCAAGATTTTGGTCGTCAACTTCAAAGCACTCCATGTCTTCGCTCCTCCCTACCTCTGTGACCATTGACAGGCGGGCCTTCAGCCTCATCCTCTGGAACTCCACCCCACTGTCCCTCCGCCTCGCACCCTCCGTTGCCTCCTTCAAGGCCCATCTCAAGACCCACCACTTCGACCGCACCTTCGGTCACCCTCTTAGCCCTACCCTCCGCGCCCTCTACCCCGCCTGATCCCAACCACCTACTCAGGTTGGGAGTCCTGTAGCTCAGTGGTTAGAGCACTCGCTTTGCAAGTGAGAGACCTGAGTTCAATTCCAGGCAGGGCGAAACCTTGGGCAAGTTTCCTTACTCCACACGCCTAATAATAATCCCTCCAAAACCAAAAAAAAAATAATAATAAATTGGTCATTTTCAATCCATATGACTGTTTGTGGGACATTGCTGTGCGCAATTGGCTGCCGCGTTCGCCCACAAATATACAGTCAATTCACTTTACAGTGTGTTCTGTGAAGCGCTTTGGGACGTCCTCCCGACGTGAAAAGCGCTATATCAAATGCAAGGATTATTATTATTATTATCCCTGACTGTCCAGCGCCTTGGGACGTTCTCCTGATTTGAGGCACTAAACAAATGTAATTTGTTCTTGTGCACTGCAAGCGAGAATGAACCTAGCAGCAATTTTTCCTGGTCGCTGAAATGTTTCAAAAGCTGCGTGGCAGACTGAGCTGATAGGTGACATATCTTTGCATTCAATATAGTGCCTGCTGTTGAAATAGCTCATCGTGCTGCACAAGTAATTGTGGTAAAATGTAATGACTAATCGTAGGTGAATGTCGTGACTAACAGATCGGAGTAAAATTTCCAATCTTAGAACTGTACTTCAATAAGTTACAAAACCGAACTGACGTAAATATTCCCAGACCCCGAAATGCAGCTTCAACAGCCATGCCCTGCTACCGTAGACAGCTGCTTGACAGAAAAGAGGATGGGCAACAATGTTCGCCTCAACTAAGTCATCCGCCTAAATTAGAAAACCATTCACGAAAAACTACCGCCGCTGTGAAAGTTTTCAAACGTACGCTTGGAAATGGTAATGCCCAGCCCAGCCATCGCCTCCTTTACTTTGGCCCTGGAGGGAAATGAAGAGTTCAGGATATAACCTGTGCCCCAGTAAGGTCACAGATCGACATAAGCAACTGACTGGCTCTTCACTCGCTCTCTCTCACCGCAAACACTCGCACTCGCACTGCTCCTCCTCTCCTGCCCCAGCAATGTGGGCACAGCAGACGGCCATCCGCCCCGATGGGGCGTGTTTTTTGTTGTGCTGTGTGGTGGGGGTTGGGGGGGGTTGGGGGTGGGGGTGGGGGGGTTGGGAGTTGGAAAGGGAAACGACTTTGGGCGGAGGTTAAATTTAAACCTGCAAATCGTGTTTTTTTTTAAAAAATTCTTCCCCCCCCCTTTGAAGGCTCTTTCTTAACAGGTTTTTTTTAAAAAAAAACTAACCTAAATTGGCCACTCCGTTACCCGTTGGAGGCAACGGGTAACAGTGGGCGACTTTGGGGACTCGCGTTTGGTGGCCTTTGGGCTATATATAACCTATATTATATATATGTATATATATATATAAGCTATATATAACCCAGAGTCATTTCTGGCCACCCTCTGGGGGGGGGTCACAGTGAAGCCCGTGTGCGGTGCCCACCCCTCACAGCGAGAGCTGAGGGATGTCAACAACGGCAGCGCAGGGCCGCCCCACCCTCTCACCCTCACCCTCTCCCTCGGAAACCAAACGTCGGCCCCGACTCTGCCTCCCCTTCACCTCAGGTTCACGGGGAGTTCCAGTCCCTTCTCCGGTCTCTCTGACACTACCCCCTCCTCCCCGGAGTAACGGTCACGGGCTGCCTCCCCCCCCACCCCCACCCCCAGCCTCCGGAGGGGAAGTGGGCGCGGGTTTGGTCCTCTCACCTTTTTGCCTTTCTTCACATCCTCCTCCATCGTCGGCTCAGTGACGGGCCGAGCCCCCGACTCCCGGCCCCCGGGGCATCTCACGGCGGCGACATCAGCGCCCGCGCTTCACGGGCTCAGGGTGTCCTGCGGCCAGGCGGCGGCGGCGGCTCTCTCTCCCTCCCCCCCTCTCTCTCTCCGCTCACAGCCCAGCCTCACGGTAGCGTCTCTCTCTCTCTCTCTCGCTCTTCACCACACGCTGAGTCTCTCTGCTCAGAGCGCCGCCCGCTCTGCGACACCATTCAATCCCGCCGCCATCTTGGGCGTGTCTACCCAGCCTGTACCGCGCCTGCGCTGACCAGCCAACCCCCCGGGGGGGGGGGGGGGAACTCCGCCATCCGAACACCAGGGGGCGACAGAGGACAGCGCTTCTCATCCCAGTCTATAGGGGGCAATAGAGGGGGTGATTATCACCTCAGTCTAGAGGGGCAATAGCAACAGGAGGAGGCCATTCAGCCCTTCGAGCCTGTTCCGCCATTTAATTAGATCATGGCTGATCTGTACCTCAACTAATCCCTTCAATTCCAATTTCCTGCTTTCTCCCCATATCCCTTAATACCCTGACTTACCAAAAACCTATCAACCTTACTCTTGAAGGTATGGATGGATCCACGGCCTTTTGAGGGAGAGAATTCCAGATTTCTACCACACTCTGAGTGAAAATAATGCTTCCTGATTTCACTCTTAAATGGCCTGGTTCTAATTTTAAGACTATGCCCCTTGATTTGGATTCCCCCACCAGAGAAAATAGCTTCTCTGTATCTACCCTATCAAATCCCTTTATCATCTTAAATACCTCAATCAAATCACCCCTCAATTTTTTAAACTCAAGGGAATACAATCCAAGTTTACACAGCCTTTCCTCGTAACTTAACCCTTTTAGGCCTGGTAACATTATGGTGAACCTGCGCAGTACCCCCTTCAGGGCCAATATATCTTCCCTGAGGTGTGGTGCCCAAAACTGAACGCAGTCTCCAGATGGGGTCTGACTAATGCTCTTTACAGCTGAAGCATCATTTCCTCCCCTTTGTATTCCAGGCCCCTTCAGGTAAAGGCCAACATCCCAATCACCTTTTTGATTACTTTTTGCACCTGGGAACTAGTTTTTAGTGATTTGTGGATTTGGACACCCAAATCTCTTTGATCTCCACAGTTCTTAATTTCTTCCCATAAAGAAAATATTCTGTAGAAGGGGTATTATCATCTCACTCTATAGGAGGCAATAGAGGGGGTGATTATCATCTCAGTCTATGGGGGTGATAAAGATAAGAGAGGGGATTATCAAGTGGATTTCAGTGGCAACTGATTCTCATCCCAGTCTACAGAAGGTGACAGAGGGGAATGATTCTCAGTTTATATGACAAGACAAATAATCTGTCATTTGCAAAAGAGAGGACTGATTCGCATTTCAGTCTTTCAAGGGCGATACAGGAAAGTGATTTTCATCTTATTCTATAAAGGCCAAATAGATCGTTATCCTCCTGGGGTACAGGGAATGACTTTATTTAAGTCAGCTGACACATGCGGAAAATCATCACCATGCTTAGGAGTATCCAAACCAACAACAACAAATTTACATTGAAATAGTGCCTTTCACATTGGGAGGACGTCCCAAGGAGCTGGACCATCAGTATTTCAGATCCTAGCTGGGGGTCGGGATCAGGGAGGGTGGGGGGGAAGGAGGGAGACCGAAGGCACAGTCAAAGAGGAGAGTCTTGAGGCGGGACTTGAACAACAACAACAGCAAGATTACATTTGTATAGCGCCTTTCACTTCGGGAGGACCTTCCAAGGCGCTGGACAGTGTACAGCATTTCAGACCCAAGCTGGGGTCAGTGGGGAGAGGGAGGGGAGAGGAAGGGTGTGGGGGCCCGTTGGCATAGTCGAAGAGGAGGGTTGTGTAGAGGAGGCAATGCAGAGTGATTGGGGGATGGAATTCCAGAGGTTGGGGCAGAATGGCTGAAGGCTCTCCCGCCAATGGTGCGGCAGGTGGGTCGGAGGACGTGGAGCAGGCCAGAGCTGGCTGAGCAGAGGGAGCGGGCGGGTTGGTAGGGGGTTAGGAGGTCACAGAGGTAGGGTGGGGCGAGGCCATGGAGGGCTTTGTAGGTGAGGACCAGGATCTTGAACTGGATCCTCTGAAGGATAGGGAGCCAATGGAGTCAGACAATAATGGGGGAGATGGGGTCACGGAGTTTGGTGCGAGAGAGGACATGGGCCGCAGAGTTCTGGATTATCTGCAGCCGGTGGAGGGAAGAGTTGGGAAGGCCGACAAGCAGGGTGTTTGCATAGTCGAGCCAGGAGGTGATGAAGACATGACCAAGAGTTTCAGTGGCCTGAGGGGTGAGGTAGTGGCGGAGTCGGGCGATGTTACGGAGGTTAGGGAAGGCAGAGCAGGTCATGGCTTGGATGTGGGGAAGAAAAGATAGTTGAGGGTCAGACAAGACACCTAGGTTCCTGACTGGTTTGGTGAGTTGAAGTGTGCAACTGTGGAGGTTGATGTTGCCGGAGCCTGAGGTGCTGAGGCACTGAGGCGAGCCAATCAGGAGGCCCTCAGTCTTGTTCACATTCAACTGTAGGAAATTTGCCCTCATCCAGGACTTGATGTCCAACAGGCAGTCTGTCAGGACAGCAATCGTCCTGGAGTTGAGGATGGAGGCAGAAAGATAGAGTTGGATGTCATACCTATAGAAGTTGACCCCATATCTGCAGATGATGTCACCACCAACAACAACAACAACTTGGATTTATATAACACCCTCCACACCGGATGGCATCTCAGAGCACCAAGGGGGAGCATGTAGATATTAAAGAGGAGAGGGCCAAGGGCAGAGCTGGGGGACGCCAGACGTGACAGTGAGGGGGCTGGAGGAGAAACCGTTAGAGGCAACAAAGTGGAGACGGTGAGAGAGATAGGAATCAAACCAGGCAAGGGCAGATCCGCGAAGATTAAGTAAAGAGGAGAGGCGATGTATGGGGATGGAGTATGTCAAAGGCGGCAGAGAGGTCGAGAAGGACAAGGAGGCAGAGGGAGCCTTGATTACAGATGTTCAGAATGTCATTAGTGACTTTGACCAGGGCTGTTTCTGTGCTGTAGGCAGCGCGGAAGCCGGATTGGAGGGGTTCAAAGAGGGAATGGCGAGAGAGAAAGAAGTGGAGCTGGGACCGGATGACTCATTCCAGGACCTTGGAGAGGAATGGGAGGTTAGAGATGGGGCGGTAGCTGGAGAGGAGAAATGGGTCCAGGGAAGGTTTTTTCAGGATGGGGGTGATAACGGCTGGTGGGTACTGAACCGATGGACAAGGAGAGATTGATGACATCGGACAGGAGAGGGGCCAGAACGTGGAGCTGAGAGATGAGGAGAGAGGTGGGGATGGAATCCAGGGAGCAGATGGTGGGTTTGAGTTTGCTAACAATCGCGGTGAGGGAGGAGAGAGAGATAGGGTCAAAGGAGTATAGAGAGGGATGGGTGGGAGGTGGATCATGAGGGAGAGGTGATGTGGGGCTGGCGGTGGATGGGGCAGAGGTGGCTGAACGTATCCCCTCGATTTTGGATTTGAGGAAGTCCAGCATCTCCTACAGTTGGAGTTTGAGGAGAGGATGGGCAAGGCGTAGAAACAGTGGAGATGGTTGAACGAAGCAAGAGAGGGAGCGAGGCGGAGGGACTGCGGGATGGAGTTCCAGAGGGTGGGGGAAGAGTGGCAGAAGGCCTGCCCACCAATCGTGGGGCAGGCGAGGTGGGGGATGTGAAGCAGGCTGGAGTCCACTGAGTGGAGGGTGCAGGTAGGTTGGTAGGGGGTTAGAAGGTCACATGAGTAGCGGGGAGCAAGGCCATGGAGGGCTTTGAAAGTGAGGACCAGGATCTTGAACTGTAACTTCTGTGTGATGGGAAGTCAGTGGAGTGGGGTGAGGATGGGGGTGATAGAGTCGCGGAGCCTAGTGCGGGAGAGGACATGGGCTGCAGAGTTCTGAATGAAATGCAGCCTATGGAGGTGGGAGGTGGTGAGGCCAACAAGCAGGGAGTTTGCGTAGTCAAACCTAGATGTTATGAAGGCATGTACGAGGGTCTCGGGGGCCTGCGATGTGAGACAGTGATGGAGCCCAGCAATGTTGCAGAAGTGGGGGAAGGCAGAGTGGATTATGGCACGGATGTGGGGTGGGAAGGATATTTGAGGGTAAAACAAGACACCAAGGTTCCTGACTGGCTTAGAAACGTGGAGTGTACATCCTTGGATGGTGACCAAACCAAACTGAGTTCCATGCACCCCACCTATACATGGAAATCTACAAGATTTTATTGGACTAGAATGTGCACTCTTTCCCTGGAAAGATGGATCCTGCTTACCTAATCCGGAAGATAGTAGGCACAGGTTGGCAAGACCCAAGGTTTGGAGATCCTAGAGTGTGGGTTGGGGTACTAGAATCCAGCAGTTAAAATTACATGGCTTGTCATTGATATCACTGTCTGGCAAGCTTTTTCACTGCTTGTTCAGCTAGGACCATCCTGCCATAAGGGCTGTAGCTTGCAGAGTTAACAGGAGCTTAGTGGGAAAAGTCCCTACCCCCAGTGACTGATCTGCTGTATAGAAGGTGATAGAGGGATGATCCTTTATCGTCCTGGTAGATAGAGGCCAATAGAGCTACTGTTGGATGGTTGTCAACCCCTTGAAGGAAACAAAAATGTCAAATGCATCCAGCTCTTTCACTTTGGCGCCATCGTCAGGAAAAAAGTGGCAAGGAAGCTGCAGCACTTTCAAAATAATACTAGTAATTTTATTAAAAAAACAGTATTTGAACAGATTATAACCAGTTACGGTTTTGGTACTCTATTTTCATGTTCCTTGTTTGTTATTAATGTTGTAGCACTCGGGGACTCTACCCCATGTGAAGTGCGCTATAGAAATGCATTTTGTTGTATTACATCATCTGTACAAACAGGAGCAGAGCTCAATGATGTTTTTTGTCAGCAAAATAGCTAACATGCTCATTTGTCCACAAAAATCCGTATTTTAGATTAGTTGGGCACTACAATGTAACTGCTACTGTTTCATTTGTTTGTGTGATGCAAATCTTTTTTTTCTATAATTAACATATTGTTTTAGGCAGAATTAAAGAATGACATTGTGAGATATATAATATAATATAATAA